TTTAGGTACCTACATGAATATATCTATTTCATTGATCAATATGAAAACATTCATGAGATATTAATTAAGCTGAAGAGATTTTAGAAAAAATATTTTTTACAATTTAAGATTTTCAATACCCAAAACAATTCTGTTGTTTCTTGTATTTCCTCCATTCCAATAATTCAATTGATATCAACAACTAACATATTTAACAAGATAATCTCAACAAATGATTTACTGATAAATTTCGAAGAAAAAACTTACCATTGAACGTCAAAAGCACGGCATTCTTCTTATCTTTACCCATTACTTCAAATTACACTCAAATTATGTATATTTTGATATTGGTGTCTTAAATCCAGTTGACTATGGAAAACTACTCACAGAATCTAGAAATATTATTCCTTTAACACTATAGCTGTCTATTTAAAATGAAGTAAATGAATAAGTTTTTTTGTCTATAGAGAGATCTCAAAAACTAAAAAAAGAAATAATATATACTGCATTATCAGCTCTATAGTTTGCGAGGAATTCATGGTTCTGAAGCATCTACCTCACCATGCCTTTTTTTTATCATATCCATCAGTTTTTCTTAAAATTTTTCAACGTAATTGAATACATGTCATTGATAATTTTTTGTATATATCTAAAAAAAGAATTTTGCGATAGCTACAGAACATGCCTAATATCGAAAATATTCTTAACTTCATGCAATTATCATTCATATTGAGATCAAGAGAGTTGTGTTATCCTAGAAAAACTATTCTCAGATATTACGAAGAGTTTTCCTTGACAACAACAAAAATGATTGATATAGAAGAATGAAACAAAGTTTCATCAGCACAACCGTTTTAATATCTGAAACGGATGTCAATCGAAAATAATTTCTCGTAAAAAAAACCATGATCTTTTAGTTTTTGATAATGAGTTCAATTAATTAGTTTTTTTAATAAAATCTGAGGTTTCCATGAAAAAAATGTCAAGTTGATAAACTAACTTGTCTTAGGTTTTCATACCAAGACTACGAATATGAAACACTATTTTTCGATTCATTTATAAAGCTTTCACTTGAACAATTATCAGCATAAAGTTTCAAAACAATTTCACGAAGTATATTTGAAAATCTCTTTCTGTATTTCTTCCTACAAAAAATTTCAAAGTCCTCTATATAAAAAAACAAGACAATAAATAAAAATTATTGTTCTATCATTACTATTCTAATTTTTTTAATTTAACGTTTCAACAGAAAGACAATGAGGGCTTGAATTTAAGCATCATCTATTCGTTTTCCTTTCAATTTTAATGTCTTTCTTTTCTGCTTACACAGACAGCAAAAATGTCCTAAGACAATGTGTTTTCTTCCTATGATTCAGTAACAAGCACACGACATATGAATCGTCCTTATACATTACACTTGAACAATGAGGGAAATGAACGTAACCGTCGATCACATATCGTTTTAAACATGAATCTATTCAAACAGATATGTGTACAGACGAACAATATGTCGTGTCCTGTTTCACGTACGATGGTTTCTTCAACATTTAACTATATCATAATTGAAACATGCATAGCTCAATCTGAAAAGTACATATCCTAATAATAACTATTTCCAATTATTAACCTATCGGTTCATCATCGATGGAGTTTTCTCTGAATACTTGAAACAATATTCATTCTAATGATAAACGTGTGTTATCTAAAATTAAAGTGTGCTTGTGGAGATTCATCAACAATTGATGGTTTGAGATTGTAAAAGAAATTCAATTTAATCATCATGCTTCGTATGCATATTGTTTCCGAAAAATTTGTATGATTTTTTCTATTAATATTTATGAAAGTCCTTTTGTTTAAATGTTAGCTTGAATACTATCTCAGTGTAATCTATTACATAAGGAAAATTTGTTTTTTTTTGGTTCGATCGAAATTTCTTTTATTGTCTGAAGTATTTTAGAAAAAATGACGTGATTTAATACATCATATATAAGATGATGTTAAATAAAAATCACTAATTCTAAAAACTCATTTTTGGAGCAAGAACGATTATTGTTGGGGCGAAATTGTCTTTATTTTGTGGAATTTATCGATAGATATATACGGTGAACATAGTAATAGAAAGAGTTGTTTAAAAATTTCAAAAGCAAGAACCGATTAGAAATGCAAACAAAAATTTCTTGTTTTTTTGAAATACCATTTTCAAAAAGAATCATTATTGATGTTGATGTAAATATGTATCTGCTATCATCATGAGTATATTTAAAAAAAAGGAAATGGTGATTTAAATCTATATTCAATTCTTTAAAAGCTATCCACATATTTGAATTTGTTCCGACTATCTTCACCATAATCGGAACAAAACTAAGTCATGATGAATCTATTCGTTGCATTAGTTGTTTTACTGATAGAAATTTATTTTTTTGTCTTTCGTGCTTTTAGAATGTCATGATTCGATCAAATTCGTTTTCCAGATTAGATTCTAAAAACAGAACTCCACAACATGAAAAGAAAGAAAAAAAATTGAAAAAAACTGTCATCAAAACAACAAAAAAATGTGCTTATTGAAGAAAAAAACAAAAGCATACATTCTTTTTTTCTTTCGTTTGTCACCTATTTTTCAAGCATATTTTATATTCTTGACATACGAAATTTTTTTTATCAGAGACAAAAAAAAACCAAACAAAACCTCAAAGAACATAAGGTTTAAGTTTTGTCAAATGTGTTTCTAAATACTGTATATAAATCGTCATGGAAAATCAATGTCTTTATTTCATTTTAGGTTTATCTGACTGAAACAGATACAAAATAAATAATTTAATTTTTAATCTAGAAGATAGTATGGTATTATTTCTCTGTTGAAGTTATGTAAAAAATTGGAATTTATTCAACGAAAAGAAAATCATTTTATCAATTTTCTGTCGTTTACTTGGCAAAAAAATAGTTATATTACTATCATCGTTGAAGAATCTAATTTTTCAGTGTAATCTCAATAACTTGACAACACCAATTGCCAGTGTTGCTTGTGCCTTTCACAACAATTAAACTAAGAGAACTTTATTAGAAGTCTTTTCATCTGATACTATTAAAGAGACAATTATTTTGAAATCTATACTCCTTGCAAAAAATCCAAAAACATAGATGAAAATGTTAATTAATCTCAAGTAAATTTTGATGAAGAGAAAATAGTGAGAAACTAATCATCTGAACCGTACCTAGAACTGTGAAATTGAAACAAATGTTAAAAATCAAACCTACATCAAAATGGAACATCGTTAGGTTTTTTTTTGAAATGTTTTACGAAAACGATTTGTTTTAGAAATCATCTTACAGTACAAAGTGTCAGATGAGTTATTGAAAATACAGAAATGTCTCCTTTTTCTTGGCCAGAAATTAGCTATTAGGTTTAACTCAAAAACGTAAACCATATCGTTGGTTATGATCATCAGAAATCAAGCATGAATTTTACAGGGTGTGGGTGTGATAGAGAATAAACTTATGTTTAATTCTTAACCGTCAAATTTTCTAAACAAACAATGATTTTTAATGTTTTATTTTATAAAAATCAATCAAAACACAAGCAAAGTGTTGGTCAAGTTGTTAAACCTAAATAAAAAACTTATCGAATAAAATACATTAAAATTGAAGTATCACATCGATTAACATTGATATTAATATCATCCCAAGATAATATTTAAAGATAAAATGAAAGCTTTTTCATAAATTGCCTGTATGATCATTTAATTTTTTATAATTTTTTTAATATTTTAGAACTGAAATTAACATCTTATTGTGAATATAGCAAATAACTATTAAAAATAAAACTCGATCAAAACCATATTTGTAATATTCAATTGTAACCTTCAAAAAAAAATATGTTAATGTTAATCGAAATAAGATGTGAAAAAATGATTTCATAATCCTAAATAGAAGTAGCAACAACATCGAATTATTAATCATTTTCAATAAAAAAAAAATATTTTGTTCATGAGTTTGTTGATGTTAAAGAGCAAATTTTTTTTTCAAATAGATATTCAATCATTCACATAAAATCTCTATGAAATTTGTTAATTAGATTTTCGTTGTCTCGTAAAAGTTTTTTTAAAGTTTAAATAATTTAAGAATTGTTTCATGAATATATAAAGAAGAATATTTATTCTTTTTATTTTCTTATCGGATATTAATATTAATGCACATTTAAAAACAGCAAGGCTGATAAATATCTTTCGAAAGACTCATGTTGTGTTTGACCATCAATGTTAACATAACCTTTCCTCTTTTTCTATTCTTTATCTCTATTTCAGGATACGCAGTGCATGAGTTATTACTCAAATTGACGGCGAATGTATTGTTTTTATCCGCCGTTTCATTCAATCATCGTTCTTTTGCTAGAATGGCGAGCGCACGACATTCAAGTTATCCTTACACATTCGAGATGAAACACAAACGAATTGAACATGAAATGTTTAAAGACGACAAAGATATCGTGCACTCAATTTTTCATTGCTTGACAAACACCGGTTGTTATCATGCGCTGCGTATTATCATTTCGTAACGTCGACGTCGTCTTTCATCGCGTCTTTCCGTTTTCATACCTTTTCTTTCTTCCGTTTCTACTTCTTCTCGTTCTTCGTAACAGAAGAATAAAAATAATTTTCTACTAATGGAGCTTTTGAGGGTGGCTCTAAAACAATTGAACCTTCTCAGGGATATCCGACGTTCTGTTGGTGACCCGTGCAGGCGTGCAGATGGTAGGCCTTCACAACATACATCGATGTATGTATGAATAGAAGCGTCCATTTCGTCATCGTCTTTTCGAAGATGATGATCATGGTCGTACTATTCATACGTACATCGATGTATGTTTGCCTAACCATTGCCGGCTTTGTCCACTGTACGAGCCAGCAGAATACGGAGGGTATCTCTGGTCGCGCGTGCGCGAAATTTTTGCAGCTGCTTGCTTCTGCGAGCCAATTTCGAAGAAGGCCATTTTATTTTCTCTTTAAAAACGAAAAAAAAAACAATTACATTTTCTTTTTTACATTTTCGACATCTCTTTCAGATTTCGCGACATTCGGATGTGTTGGAGGGAGAGCTTTTCTGAAGATGTCGCGTGTTCGTTCAAGGAATGAAAGTGCTTTTGTATATTCTCCCATCTTCTCATACAGCATACCGATGTTACCGTACGACATAGCCAAGTCGGGATGATTCGGAGGGAGAGCTATTTTACGGATTTCAAGTGATCGTTCATACGATGAAAGTGCTTTCGAGTACTCGCCCATGTTATCATACACATTACCGATGTTGTTGTAGGAAGCAGCCAAGTCGGGATGATTCGGAGGGAGAGCTATTTTGCGGATTTCAAGTGATCGTTCAAACGATGAAAGTGCTTTCGAGTACTCGCCCATCTGATCATACACATTACCGATGTTGTTGTAGGAAGAAGCCAAGTCGGGATGATTCGGAGGGAGAGCTATTTTACGGATTTCAAGTGATCGTTCATACGATGAAAGTGCTTTTGAGTACTCGCCCATGTTATCATACACCGTACCTATGTTGAGGTAGGAAGCAGCCAAATCGGGATGATTCTGAGGGAGAGCTATTTTCTTGATTTCAAGTGATCGTTCATACGATGAAAGTGCTTTCGAGTACTCGCCCATTTTTCCATGGACGATACCGATGTTGTTGTAGGAAGTAGCCAAGCTGAGATGATTCGGAGGGAGAGTTTTCTCTTTGATATTGAGTGCTATTTCGTAATATGAAAGCGCTTTCGAGTAGTTTCCCATATCATCACACACCCCACCTAATTGATTATTATATTCTATACGGTCTTCATCAGAAGACGCCTTTGCGAGGAGAATCTGATAGAGTTGTTCTGCTTTTGCAGGTTCGCCTACTTTAATAAGTATGAAACCAAGTCGAGACCATCCTGTTCGTCCACCAAGTTCCTTACGTGTATGTGCTGTAAGTGTGTTCAATTCATGATTGTCATTACCCACAATAGTGAGAGTGACTTCGTATAGCCGATCAGAGTGATTATCGTGAATTCGTTCAATGCGATCGATACGAAAAATCGCATGTGTTGAAAAGAGTATTTCTTTCTCTTTATCTTTGTAGTAACCAACTTTACTTACTTCAGCAAATGGTGTTGATGATTTTGTGCAAATAGCCGTGTCAATATTCATAATGAAGAGAATACCAACTGAATTTGTATTTAATGCTGCTGGTCGTGCGAAGTTTTTGAAAGATATCTCGCGATTGCGACTTGTTGATAAGAAATTATTAAAGGACATAAGTCCTCCTTTGGTTTTTTTCATTTTTTCAAAGTCTTCAATGGACAAACCTTGTCCACGGAAGACTTGAAAATTTGTTGGCATGCTGCCTTTTTGTTCACGATGTAGTTCGGTAATATGTTGATGTAAATGACGGATGAAAAAGCCCATTTTAAGGATGATGTCAACATCCATTTGTCGAAGTCCACGATTGAGCATGGGATAAATAAATGTCTCCGCTGTATACCACCATATTGGTGTATGAGCACGATATTCACGTTCAACAAGTTTAATTTGATCTTCAGAAATATCATCTTGTTCACGACAATAATCGACCAGATCTTTGATGGATTTTTTATCATCATCTTCGATCTCCAAGAGTGCTTCCTTTAACAATTGTGTATACATAAATAAGGCATCACGACCATTAAAGCTGACCGGGATCATAGCTTGATCACATCGTTGTCGATCGATTTCAAGTGCTTGACAAATTGGTTCTATTTTTGTGTATACACCCTTAACCTTGCTTATTTTTTTAGCCCATTGTTCATGAACCGATTGGTTGCCACAAAACACATAAATTGCTTCCAGTTGTGGCAATGCTTCGATTTCTGGTACTATTTGACGACCCAAAGAACCTGATACGATCATAAATACCTTTTCTTTTTTGATTTCACTAAGGAAATTAACACATTGTTGGGCATCCGTAAATGTTGTGATGGATGCCACAATTTTTCGAAGATGTTGCAATGAATTCTTAAAATCGTTATCGGATTCTTGCAAATTGGCATCGAGCCATACCAAAAGGAAATTTTGAAGAATCCGACGAGCAGTTTGAGGAAGTACTGCATTTCTGCTTGTCGTTGTTGTTGGTAGTGATGCTGCTGCTGTTGTTGATGATGATTTTTTTGATTTATTTATTGTGGAAGGAGAAGATGATCCACTAGCAGTTGATTTTGAATGTTGCTTTTTTTCCATTTGGATGATTTTGATGATAATAATGACGCTGTGTTTTTCGTAAATGATTTTTTTCAATAGATTTTTTTTCTTTTTTCGTGTTGACACTTTTTATTTTTTGGTTTGTTATTTTTGTTGCTATAGAAGACTTGAAGGACTTCTTTGCTCAATTTTTTGTTTGTTCGTTCGTTTTCTTTTTATTTCAAGAGTTTTTTTTATTGACAAAACGACAGTGACGAAACATGTGTCACCAATAACTGAATAAT